CACCTTAAACGCTTAAACCTCAAAGAGTCCGATAAGTGTGAATGTGGCCTGTTAGGCGATCTAAACCATATCCTCTTCCAATGCGGAAAATTAAAAAACAGAGAAAAAATGTTCCAAGACTTAAAAAATACAAAATATTTCCCCCCTACAATATAGCTTCATTATTGCATAAACCCTCCCTAAGAAAATATAAAACAATAAATAACTTCCTAACTACCAACAACATATCCCTTTAACCGTCCTAATCCATAACTGAATCAGCTATTACAGAAAGGGCACAATCGACATTTTTTTCGAAATTGAGATTTTTGCGGTTTTCGCATTAGTATATGTAGACACATCCTGCAGTGCAGACAGGGCACTATATTCGCATTTTTTATGTGTTTTTGACAGGGGTTAAGTTCCTCACGTAGAGCAGAAGTTGCAGCAATATAGTGCCGTTTCTGCAGTACATGCCCACTGGGTGCGCGCGCATCGGCAGCGGCAACTCGTCGTTTGTTTTGTTTTGATACGATTGAGAGGTTAGTTTTGCGTCTCGAAACGACAGTGATCACGCTACACGCTTCACTCACGCTGAAAATGAAAGGAGTGAGAATTGAACCTTGAGGGTAGGAAGTGAGAGGAGCCCTTAATAGGTTGGATGAGGAAGTAGGTAGAAGAATACTACGCTATTGAACTTCAAAGGATACATTTTTTTTTTTTTTTTTTTTTTTTTAAATTTCTTGACTTGAAATAAGCCAGAAATATTTTTCAAAATTTACATAGCTGTGGGCAAACCACATGGTGAAAGTTCGAAATCGCACACCATCAATTGCGACATTGCCAATTTTATTTCGTCTTCTTTTTTTTGTTCTTAAGTATTCTCTATTGAAATTGTGTGTAAATTTTCTTCACACCATCAAGATTGTTTTCTGAAAATTTCATGGGAAAATCTCTATTAGTTCTCTTTAAAAAAATAGTATAAAAAGAGAGCAGAAATTTTGAAACGTTGCAATGGAAATATACAATTTCCAACTTTCGCTATAGACATGCATCATTGCCATACCTACATTTGAGATAAAAAACAAGAGCTAAAATAATTTTCTGGCTTAATTCTATCACTCTTTATGGCTCCTTTCCCCATGTATTACAGAAAGGGCACTAATGCTCTTCCTTCAAGTGTCATTATTTACAACCCAGAGAGAGTATCATGTAAAAATTTTTTATGGAAATTGTCAGTCTACTTGGGGGACAAAAGAAAACCTCGAAATTTTTTTTTCCAAAAGCTTATAGCATACTCAAATCAGTTTTTTGCATTTTCTGAACAGTTAACATTTCTGCAATAGTGTCCTTTCTGCAATATGTGATTCAACTGCTAAAATTTCCACTAGTCCAATCCAATAGTCCATACAACCCGTCTATGCCCTACCAAACAACTTGTCCTGATTGTTCACTTGGTATGTTCTCCATGGCTCAGTCAATAATTTTCTTATTAGTCGCTATGTCGAGCCTCTTAGCGTGAAGCTGGTGTAGGAGACTCTTACTTTTACTATCTACCCACCTAACTCTCTAAAAACCTTAAAAAAGTCCTATTCTACATTCATATTCCTTCAAATCCTTCTTAGCTTGAATATAACCTCTTCTGTCTATAGATGGCTGTAGATTCCTATCAAAATATAAAAAAGGAATAGAAGCCACAAAACTCAGAAAAAAAACCCCTCAAAGTGGCCATATCGTGCGATTTCGCCGATTTTTCCTAACATTCTCCCCGCACGGTTTGCCTGAACGAATTTAAATTTTTTGACAAATCAAAAGCAATGACACTTCAGATTTATGAAGTAGAGTGTCTGCCGGGTTATTTAAGCCAAGAAGAAAAATATTCTGTCGAGCTCCTGGAAAACAAAGTCAACTTAAATATTTTAGGGCTAAAAGGGGCAACTTACCGATGGTAAGTCCCGTTATATCACTGAAAATGAATCGCCTCGATAGTTATAATGCCTAGGTTTCTTGAATACGGTTAGATTAAGTACTCAATCACTAAAACCATAGATTTTAGCAACATGTTAAATTATGGAGACCTGGAATTACCCATCGAAACCGAAAAGTTCTCAAATTCTCCAGGAAGCTCTACCAAAATGGCCTGCTTTCTGGGCCGTCGATTCGGCCATCGCACCGACTTTGAAGTGGAAGCTTATAATGACCTGAAGCTCACAGAAAAAATTCAATATGCGCGTAGGAACGGTTTCCGAGTTTCGGAGGGGGGGGGGTTGGCAAATCCGATCTATTTCTTCTAATCCGATCTATTTTCTGCCGTTTTCTTGTTGAATTGATGTTGTCGCGGGCTTCTAATCGTTGTTCACGCATGTTCAGCCCATCGATAATATACAATTTTTTAATATAGAATTATATTTTCACGTCACGGAATCGATGCATCCATTCGTTTTATCGATTTTTCCCGATTTTACAAGGAACAATGGTGGTTTCCGGTATCGATACTCGTCAGTATCTATTAACAAAAGAATGAATTCCAGCCGTTCAAATATTCCCGCCTAAAAGTTCCAGGAACTTTTAGGCTGGAATATTTGAACAACATTAATTTTTTTAGATTAAACGATGTCAACTGAGGTAACTTAACTGATAATTATGAACGGTACATGAATATTTGGCGTTATTTCGACCAGGTATAAAACAAAAAACAACAAAATAACACAGATATGGATGGAAAGAAAATATATTCGATAAAATTTTATTTTCCTGCTGTAGTGATATGCTACAAACGAAAATATTACATTGATATTGAAATGTATACAAATATTTCTAAATAATAACCGCTCAGAAATGCCAAAACCCGTAGTAAACTTCCGCTTCACGCGTAATCAGCGTAAATCAATTCAGAACCCGAAGGTAAACAACAGTTCGAGGTTCCAAGCTGGGTACGCACTAGAGCGTTTTTGACGAACGAACAGAACGAGCCGAACGGTGCAAGCAGTTTGAGCACGTATTCGACATGTTCAGACACGGAAACGCGAGGAACAGAACGATCCGATCTTTTTTCGCGGGAACGCCGCGAGCGCGAAGATGATCGTTCTATTGGATGACTTTTTCGCTGATTTGTTGCTTTGAGATTTTTGTCAAGTACTGCAAACTTGTGTACCTATGAGTCCCCTATTGCTAGGAATCTCAGTGTGACTGCTAGTCGGTTGGATTCCGGGATTGGTTCACGGAAGTTGGTCACCTGCTTCGTAATTTTCGACCCAATTATGAAGAGCAGTTTCTTAAAATCAACTGAACTCATGCGCACAAAATTTTGAAAGTGGAAGAAATCCGTATCCCTCACGAGCTAATTATTTTCACGCACTCTATATAACTTTCTCATCCAAAAGCGCGGGAGAAATTTTTTCTTCTTTTTTAAAAACTTGAATCATTAATATAAACTTCGAAGGATTCTGCCTTTTTCTATTTCACTCGAGGGGAAGTGTCCCCTCCCGGACTCTCTTCCCCACCCGGTGACTGACGCTGCGCTGCTGTGCTGAACGGTTCAGCCTGAACCTTTCCCCTACGTCTAACCGTTCCCCACTCCTCTGTCAATGAAACCATGCCACCGCTTTTACGTATTGTCGCTCGACCGCCCAGGTACCTACCGGCCACTCCGGCCAGCGGTCAGTTGATGATAAATCTCGCTCATGCTCCTATACGCAGCTACGCATTGATTACGCCAGCGAATTACTTCCAAATAATTAGAATTTCTTCGATAATAGTTTTCTTTATTTATTCGACGGTA